AGTGGTTATCCCAGTCTACACTCCCACCAATAGTGGAGAAGGGTTCCTTTTTCCCCACAGCCCCTCCAGCATCTATTATTGGTTGATTTCTTCATAATAACCATTCTTTCTGGGGTGAGATGGAATCTCAGTGTTGTTTTCACCTGTATCTCTCGATGATCAATTGTGGAATATTTTTATGTTTATTTACCATTTGTATTTCTTCATCTGAGAAGTGCATGTTCATCTCAGATGCCCATTTTTGCATTGTGTCTTTGAATTGGGGAGTCTGATTTTTTTCAATTCCTTATACATTCTAGATAGAAGTCCTTTGTCTGAGGGATTGCTGGCTAAAATTCTTTCCTACTCTGTGGATTGTCTTTTCAGTCTATTGGTTAGTTATTTCCTTGTGCAGAAACTTTTTAATAAGAAGAGATCCCAGTTGCTGATTCTTTGAAGTACTTCCTATCCAGTTGTGTTTTTGTTTATGAACCCTTTGCCTACCCCTATACCTTCTAAATTTCTACCTACTTTTTCTTCCAGTAATGTTAATGTTTTAATGTTTAATGTTTCTGTTTTAATGTTTAGATCTTTGACTGTTTTGACTTTAGTTTGGTGCATGGGGATAAACTCGGCCTCAGGTTTCCTTTTTTTTGAAGCTGATCAACTGATTTTGAATGCAGCAACGGTGAGGTCTAGGCTTCCTTCAATAATGCGTAAAATATTAACCATGTGCACAATACTTCCTTACAGAGTATGGTGCCCAATACAACGGAGTATGAACTTACTGATGTAATAGGAGCTATTGTCTAAGTCAAATACAGAATGCCAGTGGTACTAGCTATTTTATTACCTTCACTAAGAATGACTTACCTGCCCATTAGTACTAGGGTTAAACAGTGAAAAAAAATCAATTGTTAAGAAAATTCCTAAAGTTTTTGTGATGTTTTACTTGTTTTCTAGATGTTTTATCTCCAGGACATGTATATATTAGGTAGCCTAGATACTGCTAAAGACAGAAAATAATTCAGTTATCTTTGAAGCTACAGGAAGACCAAAAACTTCCATGCTTCTTTCCTACACCTGAGAGAACATTCATGTTAAATACGTATAAAGTCCATCAATCCCCATGCAGTGATTTAGCACTAAAATGTAAAGTCCTAAACGCAAATACATGCATTTAAATGCCTTCAGTGTGGTTGCAAAGGACACAAGGTGTTTGTTGAAAGAACAGCACCAAATGTGTAGTGAATCGCTTGATAAAGGCTCACATTTCATGGTTTCTCTTATGTGAAAAACCCAAATCTTAACAAAGACCAAAGTGAAAGAAAAGAACAGTAGGAAGTGGGGAGCCAAGATCTTCCTCATGAGGGGAGGCAACGAGACGGAGGGAGTGGGGTGAGGGAGAATCCGGGATGGAAGGGGAATTCAGGTGTGTCCTGCGCCTGCACCAACTCCAGACAAGGCACGCTGTCATCACGCACTGCAGACGCGGACTAACAACATTTAACAAAATTGACAGGCAACGTGAAAAAGAAAAGAGAAGAAAGTGAACCTTTCCACTGATGCGCTGCTTAAGGAGCTCCGATGTAGATGTCAGCTCCGAGAACCAGCAGCCTTTGAATAGGCAGAGCCGCATTCCTGTTTCCTCATGGCTGAGTGTGTCATTGTGCTGTGTGGGTTTGTGCAGAGGGAGGTCCTTCTGCCATTAGGGAGGACAGGTTGAAGCCCGGTCGCTGTTTCTTTCCACCTGCAGTTCTGATCTGAAAGAAATCCCTCGTGTCATGAATGGCTCACGCATGCATTGCCTTCCCTCATTATTCACACGGATGTGAATGTTTACATATGTTACAGTGTTTTTTAGTTTAAGAAAAATCCCTCATATTATCAGGCTACCCAATGACACAGTACAACTTACTGGGCAGTGGACTCTTTGTCAGTGGACTTTTGAACTTTAAGATCTTATTTTCTTACACTTTAATTCTATATTGAAAAAAAGACAATTTTCCTTTGTAGTTCTTAAACCAAATGAAAAATGGATTAGCTTGTGGGGATCTTTTTCTACATTCAATATATATATTCGTTCTGTTTTCCTTATTTTGGCTCTAACAGGATTAGAATTTCCTTGGGTGCAGGGCACTCTTTCTTTGGGACATGGGCAAGGTGTCATATGCCTGCAATCCCAGCTACTTGGGAAACTGGGACGGGAGGATCACAAGTTCAAGGCCAGCCTGGGCAATTTAGCAAAATCTGTGTCAGAATAGAGATTAAAAGGGGTGGAAAATATGTCTCAGTGGTAGAGAGCTTGAGAGGTGTGCTTCAGACCCTGAATTCATTCCCTGGAGTCGTGAACACACACACACACACACACACACACACACACACACACACACACATACACACACAGAGGGAAGGAAAGAAAAAAACAAGGAAAAAATTCTTAGGTTTAGGGCTGCCCTTCTGTATCTATATAAAAATGCTCTATATAAAATTTTTTCTGTAACAAGAAATTCAGTAAGTAGTTGATTTTGGTTAGAACTACAAAAGTCATTGTCCTGGAAAGATTATGGAGAAATAGTGTCCCAAAATTTGCTTGGGAATGTGTTCTTTAGCTTTATTTTAATTTCCTACATAATTAAACATTACCTTTAAAGGCCATACATTGTCCCTTCAAATGGAATTTGAAGGCCCCATCTAGTGTACATGCAGCTGGATTTACAGCTCATTCAACTGTTTCAAGAAGTAGTGTCTGGTAGGTGAGAATTCATGCTCAGGTCTCGTGTTTTGAATATTAAATTGATCAATACGTACTGAACCCTCCATGCTTCCTATTTTTCATGGCTTTAATTTCTTCTTTATGTGCATGTGTTCTTGTGCATGTATATTTGTGTGTGCGCACACGCATGTGTGTGTACTTCAGCACACTGTCCACTGTGCCTTTGTTAGAGACAAGCAGCTCAATCCCATGTCATCTCTGTGGTCCTTGAGAAGACTAATGAATAGATGACTTATAGTATTTTGTCTAATGTGAAAACTCACTGATGAGACTCATTGTGCTGATAGTGCTTAGCCTATCAGTTTGAAAAGCAGAAATCTGGCAAATGACAGGGGTCAGGAGCACCCCTCTGATTGCTCCTCGGCAGGTGCGGCCTGGGGGTTCAGGCTTGTCTTCCTGGGGAGCCTGGGCCATGATGCTTGCTCTCTTCTGTGATAATTCTGATGTGCTCCCTGTGATTCTGGAACGTGTAACATTCTAGAACACACCGCCACAGGGCCACCATGAATTCTGCATTAATGTACAATGAATACTTTTTGCTAATTGCAGAAGAGACCAATGCCTTGCAGAAGTGGTATTATATGCGTGTATTTCGTCTGTACTCACAGGAAGGTTTATGAACTCCTTAGAAAGGAAAAAAGGGTTGATTTGGCTGTCTTACAGTCATTTCTTAGCTGGAAAATTCTACATGCTTTGATTATTTTCTTCTAGAACTCTTCTGTCTTCAAATATGTTTTGTGCCTTTAAGGGGAAATAAGATTGTGCTTTATTCTATGTATATAATAAATGAACGATAAATGAAAATTGTTCTCAATTATTTTTTAAAAAAAGGATCTGGTGCTAGTTTGCGGAGGCAGAGCAGATCTTCCCTGATGTGTCATGGTGCAGTCACTCTTGGAAAGCCATGGCTCGAAAGTTGAGTAAACACAGAGCCCATAAATGAGAGGGTTTCCTCACACCGTGTAAAATCGGCCCTTTGCAGAGCACATCACAGTGGAAAATTTGGAGAGGAGCACAGGGGTTTTTTCACCATGCTGCTGTCTCCTGCTTGCCCTGGACAGCCTGGAGCAGAGAGCCCTCCCCAGTCCCCATGCCAGGCACAGTCCCTGAGGCTGATAGCTGTCATTGGGCGACCCCGCCCTGTCTCCTCTCTTGGGCAGGGGCAGCCCCGGCTTAGAGGAGGCTTCCCACTGAGTGCTTCTTCCTGCTCCTCCTTCCAGGGCCCAGAGGGTCACGGGCAGGATGAGGGACCCATTCCAGCTGACCTCATTTCTGGTATCCTCCCAGATCCAATTTGTAGGACAAAAGCCATTTTGACCCTGGCAGCCCCATTCCTGTCTCTAATTCACCAAACACAGGCTCCCTCCTGGACCTTGGACCTCCCCAGCCAAAATTTTCTCAGCTCCAGCCCTAAGGGCAGAGAAACAAGCAAGGCCTGGCTTCAGGCTCCTCTCCAGAGATCCTGGCCCGCGCTGGGGACCGCACTTGCCCGGGAGCCCACTGCCCGGGCTCCTGCTCCTGTGTCCTCGTCTGCCCCACTGTTGTTGTCCTCCCTGGCTTACACAGGAGCGGACCAGAGGCCAGGGCCCCATCGAGGTTCCACGTGCAAAGCTTGGCCTCAGGAAGAGGCGAATGTGCACTGTCAAAGCCTGTGTTCCAAACGGGCCATTCTGATATTAAAGGGAGAGAAAAGCCCAGCAATGCCAATGATTTTAGTTTTTAAGAGCACTTACAAACAGCAGGTTAGAAGTTAATATCGGTCAGACTCCACTTTCTACCCTAATCTGACTGCTGAAATGAGCTTAGCCCCCGCAGCCCACAAGGGAAGGAGGCAGAAAGCCTTGGGACAGGGGGCAGCAAGGCCAGGCGGCACCCTGGGAGAGCTAATAAGCTAGGACACCTCGCATCTACGCGGGCCTCGGAACCATGATAGGGTCCACAGAGATCCGCGGGGATCTAAGCAAGCGCAGGTCTGGGCAGACCCTGGAAACGACCAGGCTGAGTAGCTCGCATGGTCCAGGGAGGGGACACAGGCGGGCCGGAGGGGAGAGGCGCTGGATGCCCGCTGGGAGCCGGGCTGCGTGTGTGCAGGACAGTGGACACTCGGGAGCCCCTCAAAACCTGCAGCTGATGGATTGCCAAGGGGGCTCTCAGGGACCCACACCCTGGACCTTCAAGCCAGGAGAGGACCCACGTAGAGACTCCGTCGCCTCGGCGACCGCCACCCACGGCTGCGGGCGATCTAGAGGCCGAAGCATTCTGTCCCCGCGCCCACCTCCTCCCGCTGAGGCCGCAGTGGAAAAGTTTGGGGAGGAGCCGCGAGCCAGGAGGACACGTTTGCATTCCTCAGCCGGTGCTCTCAGGTGCCTGGACAGGGAGGAGGACACCTGGACAGTCCCTGGCTGCCACTCCTCCCGGGGGCCGGGGTGATGAAACTCCGGACACTTTGCACCCGTCCCAGGTCCCTCCCCAGGCTTATAAAGGTTGTGGCGCTGAGCGCTGGGGATAACTTCCCCGGCAGGCCCGGCGTCAGAGAGACTCTGCCACCGCGTGGCCCCAGGCTCTGCACCGCAGCAACGCCGGCTTCTCCCGAGGCGTCCGGTCCGCTGGCGCCCAGCGTAGCTGGAGCTCCCACAGCCAGCAAATGGAGACGCTGCTTCCCGCGGGCCCGGCCCGGACGCTGCTGCTCTGCCTGGGTAAGCCTCTCGGTCCCCTCCGCGGGCCAGGCCACAGCATGGCCCTGGGCAAGTGCCCGAGACCTGCGCGGTCAGCACGCCCTTCCCGCGGGCAGGCTGGGGGCGCCAGGGGAGGAGGTGCCCGCGCCTCCGGGGCTGAAATAACCACTGACGTTTCCGTCCTGCTGCAAGAATATCGCTTCCTGCTGGCGAAATAAACTTGAACACTGTGGCTCTTTTCTTTTGATTATTTGCCAGACCTGGAAACCCTAATACCGGAGCGGGGCTGATGCTGGCTCTTGGTTGCTTCTCGGCAGGGTGGAGGGAGGTGACCTTTGTGAAGGAGCACGGTCCGGGCTCTCTGGTCCCCTGGCCCCCGCGAGTTTATTCCTGGGGTTTGCTAGGTAGGAGTACACTGGTCGAGGACCCTTCGGTATCTCTCTGGTCAGTGTTTCTAGTTCCTGGGGCTGCAGGAGCCAGGAGCTGTGCGCAAAGGTTTTCAAGTCGTTTGCACCAGGGAATCAATTCCCGGCGACCTCCTCCAGGAGCTGCTGCCAGCTGGGGTTCCCTGCAGGGGGCGGAGGGAACAGCTCCATCTCCCTGGGGGTGACCCTTGCTCTCAGGTCGTCTGCCGTGGCGCTCTCCCCACCCAGCCTCGCAGGGCTCCTCTGGCTTCTGCGAGGGCTCTGGGAAGGGCACCGCGGCCTGGGGATAACCTGGTCACCGCCCAGCAGGGCCGCGCTGTGTTTTTGTTGTCATGAAAGTGCTTAGCTCCTTTATTGCGTTACTTAATTACTGCTCACCGATTTCATCAGTGGCCCAGCCCGGTCCCAACTGCACTGGGTCAGTTTCTGTTTTCCCAGTCTGTTTGGATGTTTCTCTGCCACCAGTAAAACAATTCTTGCTGGTACTAGGCAGCAGTCTGTGCCTTCTTCCCTGGGGTGTGGGCCGTCACCCCCAATCAGTGGAAAAAGCCTGCTAGCTACTTTGATCTCACTAGGTAACCCAGGTTGGCATGGAATGTGGAGATGATCCTCCTGTCTCAGCCTTCCAGTGCTAGGATTACGCTTGTAAGCACCACACCCAGTTTATCCACTACTTCTGAAGGCACCTTTTCTCCTTGAACAACAATTAGGAATGCTTTCTCCAGCTCTGTCTTTCAAAAGGAAAACAAATTTATTTTGGATTTCAGCTTAAGTCTTATTATTACCTCTCGTGGATTTACATATATTTATAAAGGAAAAGGTCCACTTGTTCCTTGTTACATGCAGATTTAAACTGTCCCCGCTGCCACGTCATTTGATTGCTCATGCATTTGATAAATGTCCGATATGACTTGTCTTATTTTACAAATGAAGAAGCTGGGTCCTAAGCACCTAGGAGGAGGACTGGCAGACCAGGAGTTCTCACCTGGATTTATCAGCAGTTTTGGCTTCTGGCCTCCTGCGCAGGAATAAAAAGGGTGACATTCTGCACAGTAGAGCACATTTGCCTGAACAATCTCTACTTTTCAAGCTCAATTGTCCCTTTGAGCTTTGAGATCATTCCAGATCAGAGAGGACATTTTTATCTTGAGTTCAGGAGTTCTGTTAGGGAGATCTTAATCTAAACTCTGAGCCTGGAAGCTGCTCTGGGGTGATAGCTTCTGCACTGCCTATGCCAAATTCAAGACAAGGAAAGAAGGAAATAGACAGGCCTTCCTTCCCCAAGCTCTGAGGGGTACGAGCACAGGAACCTCTGGCTTTATGTCCAGGCTCCAGACCTTGAGAGTTTTGAGCTCTTGCAAGCTGAGCAAGTGAATTCAGACAGGCCTCAGCCCTCCGCATGGTTGCTCCATGTGGGCTGCCGGTCCAATGCTGTGTCTGCAGCCCAGGACGAGCAGGCAGCTTGTTGTCACCTCCACCCACTGTGCCAGGAAGGCATGGGCAGGAAGTTCAAGGTCAACCTTTAGGGATGTGTGAGGAGCCTGAGTGTTTGGGTGGGGGTAGCAGAAGGGAAGCAGCAGGTTCTACAGTGCGGGCTTACCCTGGGTGGTGCATGACTTGACAAGGGTTCCTCACCCTCCACACAGTGAGGCACTGACAAATGCAACTGTGCCCTCAACTTGTGCTGAAAAGTGATGACTTCTTCTCTCAGCTTCATAATTTTTATCAGCATGGCTCTGGGAGATGACTTTGATTATAAAACAATCATCAAAGCCAGTTGGTGAGGGGCTGGGGATTTAGCTCAGCGGCATAAGCACCTGCCTTGCAAGCAGGCGGTCGTGAGTTCAATCCTTGGTACCGATAAAAATGAAAAAGACAAAAAAAAAAAAAAAAAAAAAAAGCCAGTTGGTGAGGGCCACCCTTTCTATATCTCCCAAGGGTATGTTAAAGACAGTTGTCAAGGAGAAGTATCATTTTATTCCTTGGATCTTGTTTAATAATTGTAAATCAAACACAGCCTTGGTAAGGCAGCAGGTGGAACCTGGCAGCCCACCCCCACTGGCAGTGAGAAAGTAGCTTCACTCTCTCTAGGTAAGAAGTCGGTACTCATGGCATCACTTTGGAAAAACTGAAGTTGAATGTTTTGTAGCCATCATCTCTGTCTCCTGCTAGAAGATGCAGATGTCACATAAATGTTCTTTTCCAAGAGCTCATACATGGGCACCTGCCTGCGGTCCTCTGAGGGTCGGCTGTGTGGGCTGTGTGGTAACAGTGCTCTGTCCTCCCGGATGGGCCCACCAGTGACTGGGAGGTGCTGCCAGGCTGTGGGCAATTTGAGACCTGTGGAAAAGGCAGGAGGGAGACAGAGGCAGCGCTCTCTGGTGATGCCATTTATGGAAGACTGGGCATCTCCCAAGGTCAGGTAAAGGTTCAGTGGCATTCTAGGATAGAGCCATGATCTAATTACCTGAGGATCTCAGAATGATTTCATCTTTATCCAGAAAAAGGAATCTTTTATTAGAGTCTGTATTCTGTGGTTTACTGGCCTAATCTCTACCATGGGTGCATGTACGTATGTGTACCTGTGTGGGTATAGAGAAGAATGTGGAAGGCAGAGAGAGAAAAATGGGTCCTGACCTGAATGAATGATGGCAGACTATTGTTTCAGAAAGGAGAGGTGCCTCTGGTCATTGTTGTAGCTTGGCATAACTGACACCATCTTGAGCCAGAAGAGTGAAAAATTACTCAGGGTACAAGTCCCATGAGAAAAGCAGAATCAGCTGCATCCACAAGAGAGAAAAATTAATCTTCCCAATAAAGAAGCAGGATAATACAGGCATCAACCAAAATTAATGTAAGACTCTAGCTAGATTGTTTCCAACAGGATGTCTTTTTGTGGTTCTCTATTTTAAAAGCTCTGTAACTTTCTAGTTTTGGATCACTTGTTTGGGCTCTGAAAAGGAGTTCTGAGCTAGTGATCACTAAGCTCAGCTAATAAAATTCCAAATTTATCAGTTTGGCTGGTTGGATTCCAATATTGTACTTTAGTTGTCTGTCTGTCTCCCCTACCTCCAGCCCACCACACTCTCAGGTCTCTGGTTCCAGACACCCATAAACTTGATCCAGAGGTGTCAGTGAACTTCAGCATCAGAACCAGAGCTGGGCTTCTGTGCACGCTGTCTATGTAGGGTTTCTGAGCCCTGCCTGGGTGCTGGTTGCTGCTGCAGCCACCTGCTGTGCAAGTATCACCTCTGCCCACCACGTGTCAGTCGGTGACAGCCCCCCACCCCCTTGGTAAAAGAGACACCCCAGACACTACCCCACAGCCCCTGCTGCCTACATCACTCCTGACTCAGAATCACTAACCTAACTCAGTTTTTAAAATTGTCCTAACTTATTGCCACCCATAATCCTCAGCTTTAATATTAGTGCTTGAGTTACCAAGAAAAATAAAATAAGTAACATGAATGGTAAGTTGCATAAAAACAGAAAGCCAAGTCTAGTGGGGCTCAGATAAATGGTTTCTACCTGATAGACAAGAGAAGGTGCTCATCTAGGGTCCTGGATTTGTTAGCCAGTACCGCACACAACGGACACACATACACACGCATGTGCATGAATGCATCTCAGGTTGCTGATCATTGCACCAAGGATGCTGGTGGTTATTAGCGATTTTTCAGTCACGGTTGCTGGCCCATCCAAATAGCCTTATGACTCCATCTTCTGAGCTCTCACATGAAACTTTCTTTTCTCCTGTAAATCTTTCTTTTCTCTTGATTATTCCATCTGCTCTCTACTGCCTATTTGTCCAAATCCTGCTCTCTCACGCATCCTGTTTCGTGCTGGGCCATGTGAATCCTCCATGCTTCAGTTCCTTCCAGAGGCCTCAGCACCGCCCCCTTGCTCTGGCCCTCTGACCTGCATCCTGCGCACCATCAGTGCAAATGGGTGACCCAAGAGTACGCCACTCACCCTGGCCCTTAGTGGTTTCCTCCCTTCATGTCTTCATGCCTCGGTGCCCATGTGGTCCTGCCTGTGTCTTCCACTCACCACACTGTCCTGCTTGGTGCTTTGTGGTCAGTGCTAGCATGGTCTCTGCATTCTCCCCTTTCCACACCCCTCCTTTCCTGGTGCCTGCTCCTGGGGTCTTTGGAGGGCGAGGCAGGTCCCCTTTTCCTCCAGCTTTCCTCTGAACATCTTCTGCAGTGTCTTCCATATGGAAAAAGACTCAGTGGAGACTTAGCAGGGAAAGATCACTGGACACTTAGGAAAACCAGCCAAGCTGGCCTCCTTGTCCTTTCTGGTCAGCAGTGGTAAAGAAGCCCTTCTCTCCATGTGGGCCTGCTGCAGACCCCTGTGCACCCTCACCCCATGCACCCTGCTGAAGTCCTGCTCCCTGGAGTTCACCATACCTGTGTTCCACAAAGAGAAATCCCTCCCGACCTGTGAGTTGTGCTGTGTAAATTCTCTGAATGAGACATAGTGAGCTTGATATTTTTAAAAATGATCTTTTATGTCTTCACTTTTACCTCTTTTCATATGCTTACTGATTAAAATTTTATCTTTTGGAAAATTCATGTTTGGCAACAAACATCTATTGAACAAGTAGAACAGCCAATATGCTTCTTAAAATGGCATTAAATATTCTACGCTCCTGGCTGCAACAAGACCACTATGAGGGGAAAAAAAAAGTAAAAGGCCAATGCTTACGTTCAAAGCTATTGCTTGGTGAGGTTTTCCTTTGGAGCAGCAGTGGTGGATGGAAAGTCTTGGTTTGGAGACCCAGGGAAAAAGCAAGAACCAAGGGGGTGAAATACAAAATATTATTTTAATAAAGCCCTTCCATGTCAAAGTGTCTTGAGGAAAAAATATTTCCAACAGAATTAAAGATCTGCTCTAGACAGAGATAAATTGCAGCTTGTAGCAGAGTTGTGCCCCATCTTCAGAACCCTTTCCGGATCCCCAGTTTAATAGAAAGTGTGGGCACACATGCTCTTGCCTTGTGGAAGCACTACGGTTGTAGCTGAGGTAAGCCCTTTACATCTGTCTATGTTTTAGGTAAAATAGGTGGTTCTCATATTTTGACTCCTTGCTTTGAATAGCACTAAAATATGAGAGGACTTGGAAGTGTGGCTTAGAAATGACTACCCAAATCAGAGAATATAAGCTAATGCATATAAATTCAAAAACTGCTTGTCAAGGAAGACCTGATGGCTGTCTTTTAAAACTTAAAATGAATAAAAAAACTTCTTTGCAACCTTGTGACCTCGTTTTTCATCTCAAAGGGTTACAGTCAGTGTTTACACTTAGTTTCAATAAAGTTGACAATAAATATACTACAGGAGTAGAAGGATTGTTGGTGCCAGACAAGGTTGCTTTTCTATACATTTATAAATATATATTTTTCTCTAGTTAGTGGGCTGCTACTAGAAAGTACTGGTAATAGAGCTTTGCAATATCTGATTAGATATTGCAAGATTTTTTTTTAAAGCAAGAGGAAATAAGACTATTTAACAGAGAAATTTAATTTAAAACAATCCCTCCAAAATGGTGAGATTTCATACATATGCATATATATACATACATATATATGTAATATATATATATATATATAACATATATCTCTTAAAGTGCACAGGCTCTAGCAAACACAGGATGTCACAGACAAACCCTAATTTTATGGCTGCTGAGGAAGAATGTGAGAAAGTAACAGTCCCTGAGTGGATGGCATGGGACCACAGCAAAAGCTTGAACAAAGTGGATTTTGGTAGCTGTTTGGGCTGAGCAAGTCCTATGGTTCATGGTGAGCTTGCTGTTCTGGTCTAAATAGTCAAAAGTTATAATTGGGAAATTAAGTGTATACCTTTGATTTTATAACATCTTCTTTTCCTGGGTCATTTTTATTTGCTTGATTGCTTTCCAGAAAAGCCACTGGATCTCTGAGAATTTTAGTTGAACACAGTTTGTTATCCTTACATTTGGTTTTTCAAGTAGTTCTGACTGATCTTGTGTGGTGATCTTCCTGCCTCAGCCTCAGTCTCCTGGTCACCCCAGCTCAAGGGTTGACCTAGGCTGGCAAGAACTGGGACAGAGGTCATAGCACAGGGACACTGGGAAGCCACCGTGCTGAAGCAGGAAAGTTGTGCTTTTGGACACACAATTTAAACCAAGTTTGCTCTTGGCTACGTTTAGGATGCAGCCATGGTGATCACACACTTTAACACGAGAAGTGTATTTGGAATTAGTGACAATTTCACCTGTGAATTACCCTGCTACTGCACTGACGCAGCAAGTCTCACAGAAACTATCCTGAGCAGTGGACTGTGTCCAGGGCAGGTCACAAGTCAGGGAAGCCTAGTTTCCACCGGGGCACACCCTAGGCTGAGCATTCTTTCCTTAACAAAGACACACAGCGCACCTGTTGCCTGAGTAACTGGAACAAAGTCTGTGACCTTGGAATCACTAACAGCTAAAAAGAGAGAAGAAAGGCAGGGGAAAGACCAAGAAGAATCACCCGAGGACAAACAGCACTGATCCCTAGTCATCACAGACGGCTGCCAGCAGCTCCTAGCAGACCAGCTGCTTGGCTTCCTGCAAAGCAGAGATTTGAAACCTGCTTGAAGAGTGTGCTTTTTCCCACTGCTGTCTCCTACAGGGAGATTCCAGGACAAGTGTCTCCCCTGTGGGAGAACCCCAGAGGGACAGAGTTGTGGTTCAAGGATAAAAAAGGGAGCAACTAGAAGTCCAGGGCAGACCTAGGAGACCAAGGTAAAGGTCTCCTCAAATCCTAAAGGTCATGTGGAAGATGGTTTTCATCTGTTTAACTGCCAATCAAATCTAAGTGCTAGTTTTCTAGAAATCATTTAGGAAACGTCTTTGGATGTGGCCTGTAAAAGCTATTGAAACAGGATTTATAATGTAGAGGAAACTTGGAGGAGGTGAAAAATAGTTCTCCACCTTTCAAGGCAACAGTATTTTCAAATAATTGAAAGAGTAGTGGTTCTATATTAGATTTTCAACATTTCTCTTCTGTGGTCACTAGATAAATGATATCACATCAAATATTTAACTTATGTGTATGGGGTTTGTTCCTGCTAATAAGGATCTCACAGGGTTATTGTGTCAAGTTTGAGACACGAAAATACAAACTAGGGTGGTGATGATGGTAATGTAACTTTAGGAGCCAAAGAATGAACAGTTTCTTTAATAAATATAAGTCTCCTGTGATAAAGAAAATTAAATTAAAATCCATGCTTCCCATAAATTAAATCTTCCTTTAAAAAGACCAATTTAACGAGATTTCTAAACCACTTTCCATGCACCATTAGAGGGCAGCATACCCACTTCTTGCTAAAGCAGGAGGCCAGGCTTTGCCTGGGGGAGAGGTCAGACATGAAACTCTCCTATCAGGTGTTCAGAAACACATCCTTTCATTTTACATTCCCCAGTGCTTTGTAATGTAGAGCAAACTGAGTTTTGGAGACGTTAACCAATGTGTTCAAAATTAGACCACTTGAGCTTCCTCACACAATGGCTGCTCCCGCCTGCCCTCCTGCCCACCATGGGGGTAAATAGGCAGCTGCCTTTGTTTCCCTCTCTCCCTCTCTGCTTCTGTGTGACCCTCACTGAGTCTCATCACCACCTTCAGCTCTTATAGGTGGCCCATTTAGCAACACTGACACCTGGGGGAGTCATTTCAACATTTCCTGCTCATTCTTCCTAGGTCAAATGGGCGTCAGATAGACTTCCCCAGAGAGAGGTACGCACAGGATGAAATGAGATGGTGCAGATCAAGGGACAGGCACCCTGGCAGGCACACAGGGCAGGTTCAGGAAATGGCAAGTTGCTGCCTCTTCCTCCTCCCTGCCTGGGAGTGATGAACACCTGCCCCTCCTGGAGACTGAGCAGAGGGCTTGAAGCTGGAGACCTGCACATGAGTACACAAGGCTGAGGGCCTTTACTAACACGTGTGGGTGAATGACTCTTCTTACTGTGCTCTCTGTGCACTTTGGGCACTTTGGTGTCTGTTTCCAGTGTTGATGTTTTCACTGGCAACACATGTAAAGGCTAATTCAGACTCTTCCTGGGGCACGGAAAGCAGGGCCGGGGCATGGTGGGATGCAGCTAATGTGCATCCTGCCCGAGTCACATGAGCTGGAGAGCTGGCCCTGTATGTACAGGGTTCCAACACGTTTAAAAATTGTGTCCCTACCAAATACGTTTGGATGCTTGGGGTCATGGTTCCCTAAAAATAGACTCTAACAAGTATCCCCGTGACAACCCCATTATATCAAGGATTGTAAGTCCCTAGAGATGAGTTACAGTGTCCAGGAAGACGTGCTTGTGCATGACTATAGACACAACTGAGCCATTTTATGTAAGTAACTTGAGCATTGTAGGTTTTAACATCTAAGGTAAGAAGGGAAAACTGTCCTGACTGACCCCAGATTGTGTTGTATTAACAAGTCTATTTTCACGTGGAACACAATCTGAAGTGTGACAGGCACTTCTCAAACAACTGAAGCTTTCCTGGCTAGCTGTCAACATAAGTGGAGCCTACTTCTTATTTGAAGTCCGCGATAGGTCTGTAACTGAGCATTACCCCAAGCATATCATGGAGCAAAGCAGTGAGGATTCCTTGGTGAGCTCTGGAAATAGGGCTGCAGCACCATATCTTTTAAAAAGTTACTGTGAAGTTTTTAGAACAGGTGAAATCTGTGACTGAATACAATGCCACCACTTTTCCCCTTAGACAGAAAAACTGGGGGTTCACTGATTTCCAGTTATATGCACATTTTCATGAATTATTTTCTTTTATGGTTTTTATGAATTAGATCCTTAAAAAAATGAAATAATTCTGTAAGTAATGCAGTTGGGTTTCTTTCTTTATTATTCTTTCTTTTTTGGGGATATAGGGATTGAACTGATGACCTTGTACTTACCAGGCAAGCACTTGAACTGCTGAGCTAAAGCTTCAGTCCTGCAGTTGGATACTGATCAAAGGTTTTTTCCTTGAAAGATGAATTATATATTTGGTTTTCCTTCACACTTAGGTTTTCATCTGTTACACTCAGTTCTCAGCACGACTGTGATTCCGTCCTGCATCCCAGGAGAGTCTGACAGTAACTGCACAGCTTTAGGTAAGGTTTTCATCTCCACCCTGCACCCAGGGGACACAGTTCCACAAAATGGCAGTAGAGATATGGGATCATGAGAAAAGGAGGTATTAGCTGCTGAGTTAATATTTTAAGCTACTAATTAACTAGGATTCTGGGAAGATTACGAAAGAAAATAACTAGTGGGAAGCGGGTGGAGGTTAGACATCTAATCAGTTATAAAAATTTAGAAAAATGGGGCATAAAGAAAACCGCATTTTGCCACAAAACCATCCTTTAAGGACACACTGAAAGAATGAATCCCAAGGAGAATAGGGAGATGGAAATTTTATGTGCAGCAGTGTGTGTGTGTGTGTGTGTGTGTGTGTGTGTGTGTGTATCTGTCAGAAGACAAATTGTGCCCCTTCTAATCACAGTGTATATGCACAGAGTATTTCATGTGTGACAAATGCCATGTTAAGGTGTGAGATAAAAAAATGAATTGTGCACAGTCCTCCCCTTGAAGGACTTCAGACTCCAGCTGTGCACCAACGCAGCTGCACTGTCTTTAGTATGAGCTATTGAGTCAGGGTAAGCATGCAGAAAACAGCTCTGTCCTGCACAGTACCCTTTCTCTCTTGCCTGTTACCCTCAGGCCCTGGTAGTTTCCTTCCACCACTCTTTTCTCCTTGTTTTGGTTACTGGGGCCAGATTATTACACTCAAGTTCCTTTAAACAATAATTTCATAAGCATTCTTTGCTTTCCAGTAACTAAAATATTTAACATGTATTTTACTTGCAGGTTGCAAGGCTGCTTCTAATAAGACACCTGGAGGCATTTCCAGCTTGAAGCTTGTGTAGGTCTTATTCAGGTCTCCATGTAAGAAATGTTGGGAGACTTTGATTTCTTGGAGGATAGACTAAGCAATTTGGAAATACCTACCATAACAAGACTTACTCCTGTGATAGAATTAACCTCTTTCAAAATTATTAATGGTTCCAGTTTGCTATCAGGAGTAAAAAAAAAAAAAAAAAAAAAAAAACAACAACTTAGAATTTCTCTGAGATGTGAAAAACAGACTGATTTTATTTAGAAACACAAATAATCCCTGCTGTGGATATGTGTGTGTGCTAAACTGACCCATTCTGCTCTGAAAATCCATTGGAGAATGAAGGCCTTGAGTGTCGCTGTGTTCTGTGTAGTTTGTCTGTTGGATTCCTTAGGGTTTAGGGGTTTGTTTCTCAGTCTGCGTGGTGTGATGCTGCTGTGACCCACTGGTGTCTGGCGTGTGCTGTGGGAGGTGCTCAGTGCCTTCTGCTGGGATAAGGTGATGAATGTCCCTCCCCAGAGCCCAAGCTTGCAGCAGAACACATTTGATTCTTAACTTTCCATTCCCTTCACAGTCCAGATGGAAGACAACCCACGTGTGGCTCAAGTGTCAATCACGAAGTGTGCCTCAGACATGCAGGGCTACTGTCTGCATGGGCAGTGCATCTACCTGGTGGACATGAGTGAGAATTATTGCCGGTGAGATTCAAAAGCAGACTGGGTGATGCCCACATTCTTCTCTCCTTTTCATGTCTTGGGGTCACTCTATATTTCCTTGGACTGTTGAAGGGGGGCAGAATGGGGGTCCCCAGGTGTGCCTCTCACAAGCTGTTCTACTCTAATCTCATCACTGGGTTTCTCTGTCCACCTCTGTTTAAGAGTTGGTTCCACTGATTCAGGCAAAAAGCACTTCAGGCCGACAAAACTTCCAACACTCTGGGTGAAAGTGTTGTGGTGACTCCACGGCTTAGCCAAGAGCTCTGCGGTGGATATACATTGATTGAAGCTAGCCTAAGCCTAAGGTCAATCTTTGAACTCAGCCTTACGCCTTGTAATAGGTTGTGTTGGTTTCTTGCATTACAGTGTGAAGTTAAACTTGCAAAACTAATCATAATCATGGTTTCTTCATAAAATGATTCATTTTCTTCCTGTGTTTCGTTTTTAGATGTGATGTGGGTTACACTGGTGTCCGATGTGAACACTTCTTCTTAACCGTCCACCAACCTTTGAGCAAAGAATACGTAGCCCTCACTGTAATTCTTGTCATCTTGGTTTTTGTCATCATTGTTGGTTCCATATACTATTTCTGCAGATGGTAAGCTACCGGCATTGTGTGTGTGTGTATGTATGAATGTATGCGTGTGTGTGATGTGGAACTGGAAACTGAACCTGGGGCCTTTGCATTGAACTACCCACTCAATCCTTTTTTGGTTTTTTAGTTTTTATTTTGACACAGGGTCTCACTAAGCGGCTAGATGCCCAAGTTGGGATCGAACTTCCTAAACTCCTCTCTTAACCTCTCAAGTGCTAGGATTTCAGGCATACAGCACCCCTCCAGGCTAAGCCAGTGGGTTTTTAAAAAAACTCTTCTTTTACAAATTACTTTACATAATACAGATCCATAAACTGGATAAAATGTGAACATAGCAATGTGGGAGTACCATACAATCTGAACTTATGATATTCGCAATGATTTCAGCTGCAGACAATCTAAATTTCATTTTATTATTATCTCTGCTACTTATTACCTATGTGATTTCCTGAAAGTCAGTCATGGAAAATGAGTTTGTTCCTCTATAAAATACAGGCAAAAATTCTTACACACAGAACAAGATACTATACACGTATACACATGTAAGATGGGTGTCGCTGTTGAGCAATATTTGTACTTATTTGGTCAAATGTTTCTTTCATAAAGTACAGCTTTGTAATTAATCATTAAGAAGTTCTCCATTTTAAAATTGAAGAGAGGGTTGTAGAAATGAGTTTTCAAGCAGTTATAAAACTTAAGTGGCTCAGGTCTAAAACAGTTTAATTCCATCCTCCTGCACAGAAGACAGTTGGGAAAAGCAGGGCTGGGGCCAGGCATCTGTCATAGGTTAGCTCCATGCCACAGGGACCCCGTGATTAAGCAGCTGCCTTGGGAATGGCTCTGCCTTAAGTCCCTCTCATTTTGAAGCTGGTATGAATTATTCGGTGAATTTTTTGCCCTCTAATAGTAGTAAAGGCCTGAAAGTGTCCTGCTTTGTGACAATGAAATTTCTTTTGTCCATGTGTGATTCTAAATATCCATCACATAGTAATGCTTTCTGAGTTAGTTATAATCCCAGACTAAATATTATTAGGAGCAAAAGGAGTCAGGTAGAAGGGGAAGAAGGGGGAGAGAAGGGGACATGCCCTCGTGGAGTTTCTCAGCACTCAGAGTCCTGTTGGGCCTTCCAGAAGGACTGGTACTGTGTTTTCCATTTCCACTCAGAACAGCTTGACGCTAACCTTGTGCTTATAGAGTTCCCTTTTACCACATGGTGCACAGCACACTACAACTGTACCTTAGGGGTCCGTCCGTCGGTCTCTTGGTTGAACGTGCTTTCTTCTTGCTGCTGCTAATTGCAGTGCTAACAGTTTCATTTCTGAATATTTTCAGGTACAAAAATCAGAAAAGAAAAGAGTCGAAGAAGGAGTATGAAAGAGTAACCTCGGCAGAGCTGGCATTGCCCCAAGTCTGAGGGCTTCTCCAGCTGGGGCCGGGCCAGCGCACCCAGGGCCCTGGTTCACCTTCCTCTCCCTATTTTATTAATAATATTTATATTGGGTCATGTGTTAGGTCAACAGCGGTATATTTTTAATATACTTAGAAAATTTTTTTTTAATTTTTGTCTTGTTTTTGACAGACCATACAGTGCTCAGGGCTGTGCCAGTGAGTTACAGGCTTCTGTGAATCTAAACTGTGGTCAGATCAACTGAACACACAGTGTTTTCCTCCTCCTCTGATCGGTGGCCCATGTTGTGGTCCAATACCCTGCCAACACTGGCACTTCTGTGTTATGCAGTAAAACTCATCTGTTAAGAGTACGATAAACAGATACAGGTCAGGTGCCACCCGTCACACCCCTGAAGGAAACCCAGCCAAGAAGAATGACCCTTCACCCTGACCGAGTCATGTGGAGGGGAGGAGAGATGGTCCCCAGGCCACCCACAATGCCTGCAGACCCTCACAGTCACCCACCTAGCAGACTCCTCACTGGTGTGGGGTGGGCATTTTCATGTCAGTTCCTGTCAATCCTGGTTGCACTGGAGTGGAAATGAAGTAAGCATTGCTGCAAGTGTGGGCATTTTTTGGCTTGTGTGACATCCACAGTTGAAACAGTACATGGGGTTCCTTTGTTAGAGTATTTATTTTCATAAAGAGTTTGCTAAGGAACTTTAAGATTAAATCAGAGTCTAAAATTTGAAGGATTTTAAAAAATGCAATGTGACAGTACTTTCAGATATTGTCATAAGATAAACTTACTTCATTTCTATCCAAGAAAAATTTTAACTTACAAATATCTCATTAAGTAGCTTCTTCTAAAGCCAAAATCTATATTTTTAGCATATATCCTGACATAGACAGTGGGGAAAAGGAGGGAAAACAAATAATAGTGTGTGTTTCTAAGCGAGAAGCTCATTCAAAATCTTCTGAACATTCAGACTTAGCCACACCTTCCTTTGGAGGCAGATATGAGAGCTGGTCCTTTCTCCTGTTTATTTTATGGAAGAGGCTGAGTTTTGTCACCAACTCTGTTCTCAGTGAATGCGTGGGTCAGTCCCCACTCCACAAAGTCCACTGAGCTGCCCCTGGACGCCGGGCGGGGAGGCTTAGCTATTTCTACTCCCTTTTTTGGCCATGAGCTGCAGCTGTCCCTCAGGTGCCAGGTACAAGGCTTGGGTCCCAAAGGCGCCCTGCTTGACACAGCCAGTACATTCCTTCGCATTCAAGGGCTCTCAGCTAAGCTGCTGAGGCTGCAGCTGGAGAAACAGGCAGAAATGTACATATCTACCTCCTTACGCTCAGGCGGGTGCCAGCCATCACAGAACTACAGTTATTCATCACTCGGTTAACTGATACATAAAACTTAAAGACATGATAAGGGGAAATAAAATAAAATTCAGTGAGCCCTTAAAGTATATTTATTTCTCACTTCATGTAGCTGAAGTCAAATATGTCACACAAGGACCTATTTTAAATCCTCTAAGGAGACATTGACATCTACTGAATTTACAGGACGCCTGCCTATTTTCAGAGATCTTGGCTGCTTCGAAAAAAATTTATTGGCAAATAGCTACAGTTATAAGCAGTTTATTGTAAGCGTTTCAGTATTGCTATATTGACCTATTTTCAACATCATTCTTTACATACTTGCATCAGGTAAAATAAATTACCTTATGCAAGTCATTTAGGATATTCTTATTTTTACTTAAAAATGCTGTTGATACACAACTGTAGTCCCAGCACTCAGGAGGCTGAGGCAGGAGGATTGCAAGTTTGAGGCCAGTCTGGACTACACAGCAAGACCCTGTCTCACGAGAAGTGCGAAAAACTAACTCCTGAATTTAATGTTTATAAGTGCATATTAAATAATGAAAAATTATGAAAAAAATTATGACCCAAATTTCACGTTTTGGTGAAAATAAGTAAAAAATGATTGTTTTAGGAAGGGAAAGGCAAAGTAAAAAAAAAATGATCACCATCAGTTCATGTTTCCTATAGATAATGAAAATATTTTGGCCCATATTTAGTCTGTCTTTATCATTTTACAGATTCCTTGTTGAAACAGTGCATCGGGTTCCTTTGTTAGAGTATTTTCTGTCACACATGCATATGTGTCAAAGATGATGTAATGGCCAATACAATCTCAAATGCAAAAATACATAATTTGTCATCTCCCATTAAAGCTATTCAATAACCCCGTAGCCACACTATATAATCAAGGCCATTGCAGTTATAACTGGTGCTAAGTAGAGATTTATTTATGGCTTGTCTTAGGCACCGGTCCACAGTAGAGCACTGCTTTTCACTACCTGCTTTCCCTCTCGTCTCTCTGGCAGGAGCCACAGCAGTAACAGAAGTGGTGATTGGTGTGATTTTGTCTTAAATTGTTGCTTTTGAATCCTGGGCAAAACAGGCAGCTAAATTTAACTGCCATCAGGTATTAAGTCAATTTTTACATAAATGACAGTGTCTTATATCTGTTTAATTCAATAATACAATTAAAACCAGGTTTGTCTTTGCTTCAGTTTCTACTCTATCTTATAGAACTTCGGGAAAAAGTATTGGATTGCTGACCAGTGTTTTCTATTTTGTTTTTACTCTTAGTAGAGAAAGGAGAATATATGCACTTTCTGAGTATGCAGGGTTTTCACTAAGGAAATGTGATGTCTAAAACAGATGTGTTCCTCAAGTCTGATAGAATGAAATGTAACACAGTGTATTTTGCTCTTATAATACCACGTTTGCACTCTGTAACTGCACGTTGAAGTCTAAAGAGCCATTTGAATATACAGTTTCTATTAAAGACGCTATGGAACATAAAGTCGCATTGTGTGCAGTTTAACATAACTTATCTGATTATGAATTTTATCTGAGTACTGAATTGTATCAATTTGTTTATTTTCAATATCAACTTTGGTAATTGTGTACCTTAAGATATTGAAGGAGAATATAGATAATTTATAAGATGTTATTAACTTTTATTTATTTTTGTTTGGAACTGGCAAAAAATACAATTGTGAAATAAAAATGCATTAAACACCATGCATAAAAATCTGCACCAGCAATACAGTCTCTTTCTTCTCTTTTTAAGGAAATTTTTCATACATTTTCCCACCACAATGTGTTAAAGGGCGTAGAAATGCAATGTGCATTTGGCCAGAAAAGTGTGACATAGAGGGGTCACATTTCATGACCACACAGTGGTAAATTTCTTGAGTCACACTACTTAAAAATTCTAAGGCTAAGCCCCTTTGATAATGCATATAGATATAGTTTCCAAAGACTGGATACTGTGCTGAAAGGTAGATTTTGAAGAAATGCATCCACCAGAATCACAACTCCCTGTGCCGGCTGCAAGCTTTGGCTTCCTTCCATTTCAGAGCAGAGATCCTGATCCCCAAGCCTCCATCGCAGCATCAATGGCTTCCCAGATGTCCTGCTTCTGCAAAATACAGAGTCCTTTTCCTCTTGGCCTAGTGCCTGCTAAGTAGGCCTTTCCCACTGAGCCTGGTGCCAGCCGGGTCCATAGAGTACATGTCCTACCCCTTAAGTACTTGTCCTTAACCCCTGCTTCCCCTCTGCAGTCTGCACATAGTACAGGAGCCCTGGCAGTGACCATGTCACAGGGAGCTTGAGGGATTAGTTGCCACAAGTGAGACCCCAATCCCACTACACTGTGGGGGGAGTCAGTCTCAGACTCAGTTAGCATTTCCCTGGGAGAAGCAGAAATTCTCATAAAGCAGGAGTCTTGGATTCTATTCCACAGAACCACCAGACTCATTCAGCTAAAATACTAAGAACCTGGCAGTGCAGAGAAAGACTAAAACACTTTTTCTCCTGGCTGCCAGGCTACTCTGCTCACTGGGTTTTTTATTCTACACTTTTGGAAGATTCTTCCTCAGCATCTCATCTACATCCATGGTCTGGTCAACACTAAAGACCAGGATCAGGACTTTGCAAATGTTCTCTGTGAGCCACTTCTGACTTGGTGCAGCTCAGCCCAGGTCTTTACTTGGTGTCTGTGTAATGCTCACTCCCAGCCTAGAAATTTCCCCTGAGTTCCAGTTGTCTAAATTCCCTTTCCTCACTGCCATCCCCATGCTGTCACAAGACATCCATTGGGAACGTGCCCAGCAGCTGACTTTCCCCGTGAGCACTTGGCCCAGTGTTCCCATCTCAACTACATTCAACTCCACCTTTCCTGGATCTCAAGCCCCAAGCCTGTTGTGGCCCTCTGGAAAGTGCTTAGTGAGTCGTCTTCAGGTGATTTTAGAAAGGAATGAATCTCAACTGACAATGATGGCACAAATGGTTGTTTTCAGACTAGGTAGAGGGGAAAAAATTCCAAGAAATCAGAATATCACAATGTTCAAAAGATGAGATTATAGACACCAATTTTGATTCACTCTAGACTATATTTTTCCCCACATGACCATAAAACACTATAAAAATAAGACATCTCATTCCATTGTAACACGAATGCATTCAAAAGAGACATAAAATGCAGATCTCTTGGAAATAATCTATTTGGTCAGCAATTTATTTAACTACTCAGCATACAAAGCCAAACCAAGGTGGATCAGACACTGAGGTTAATATTTAAATTAATGTACTTGCATTACAGTAAAAGACATTGCATGAACTTTCCTCAGAATATGCTCCTTCACTTCAAGTACATGTGACACGTTGTTCTTATCATCTTCTGAAGCAGTTCTGGAAGTTTCTCTGGTGAGAATCTTGATGAAGTGTGACAAAAATTATACTGAGCTCTGCTGCTGAGTGTTGTGTCCTTATCTATCTTATTCACTGAACCTGGCACCCTGTGATCCTTGATTTTTCCCTAAATCAAAATCACCTGGAAAATTCATCATTTTGAAGTGATTCAGGACATCATGGTGGCCGTAACAGCACAGCTAAAGACACTCACAAGAGGGGACGTCCAGCATCACTGCAGGAAGTGACAAGGATGATAGGATACATGCATTTGAAGTGAGGAGGAGGATTTTGAGGGAAATGAATGGCAACATCTCTTTCATTATAATGATGTTTTTGAAATTTGAACATTTGCTATAGTCTCTGAGTACCACATTGCTCCATTCTACTTATCTGAATTTTAGAGAAATATTTGGGAAAATGTTCCACAGATCTCCAAGGAGGGTGCAGTATAATATATATAGTAAGAAAATACCTACAGCTTAAATTGATTTCATGCAGTTTGCATGAGTGGATAAATTATATGCCAAGCAAATAGAAGTCCTATGACTAGAAGAGGGTTCACGATAATAAAATCAGTGAATAGCAATCATGCTAACCAATCCCCTGTCAGCTTTGTCATTTCTGTAGGAATGGTAGGCTTGGAATCAAGGAAATATGTGTCACATTCCTCTCATCCAGTTACTAACCAGGCCCAACCCTGCTAGGCTTCAAGATCAGACAGGACGGACACATTTAGGGTCAGGTTGTAGATGAATGTTACCTTCCAGTTGCTATCAAGAGATGTTCATGCTTTTAAAATTAATGACTAGTTTGTGAATCAGTCAGTGAATGTCAATGAAAGAATTTTTATACCTAGTAATTTTCAGGAGGTGTGAAGTAAACGAACAGTGGGAAATGTATTTAGAGGAAGAATTTAAAAGGAATAGTTTTTTTTTTTTTTTTTTTTTTTTTTTTTTTTTTAAGAACAAAATACTTTGGTAAGTAGAGTTTCTTTCTTTATTCCTTTTCTTTTTCTGTTGATGCTGGGGATGGAATTCAGGGTGCTGGCCACGCTAAGCAAGTGCACTGCTGCTGAACCACATCCCTCAGTTTCTGAATTTTTAAGGAAAAGACAACAGTTCTGATTTAATCAAGAAGAAATCCATTGGGATTTTCTATGAAGATTCCATAGAATTAAAGTAGAAGCAAAAGAACAGGATAGTTTCCATGACTCTGAGGGGCAGCCTGCAGAATCTAGTGTGCAGACACTCGGGCAAGTTTTACTCCATGGCTGCCTGGGTGCTAGGAAGACAGCATGTCATTGCCTCGCTGGGGACAGGAGCTCATCCCTCAGCCAAGGCAGGGCTCTTCAGCTGAGCAAAGCATAAACCTTAATGCAGCAGTAACAGAAATCTCATACAACTGGTGTGTTGGAAAAACTGAACTGGAATTATTTGAAGAGACAGATGGAGAGAAAGATAGGAGGCCAAGTGGCCAACTGATGAAGTGTTGATGCATAGCCTGGGAGTGAGCTGAGGCAAGCCAGACTAGGGTTACATCTGGAAGAACAGAGAGCAGCAGAAGAGCTGTAGACAGAACAGAGGAAAATCTGTGGCTTAGAAATACTGGATATGGAAATGACCAAAGGCAAAATTGGAAAGAATTCAGCTTAGGAAAGGAGGAGATTAATTATGTTAAATCAGATAACAGTCTGACTCATCACATAAAGAACACATTTAGTATGAGTATCTCAAAACTATGCACTGTTTATAATTCAGGAAACACTTGCACATGTAATAATTTTCATTTATATGCAAACTCTGAGAAAGAAGACAGAAATTAATAATTATTATCCACAAAAAGCACAGAGCCCAGGGCAGCTCAGTGCAGGGTATGTGTTAAGCATGTACAAGGGCCTGGCCCTGGCCCAACCATTAAAGTAAAGCAAAATGGGAAAGGAGAAGAGGGTCTCCATGAAGGCTATGATTGGCCGAGTCATAGAATTCGTACCCTATCCTTGGTGTCCTGTGGCCCAAGCCCCCGCTGGCAGCGGCTTCCCAGCGAAGAGTCTGGGCGGCAGGTCCATACTAGATCTGTCATGATGGGAACCCCATCATGGAGACAGCGCTGAACCCAGAGAAGCATTTTTACTTAAACAGTTTTGAGGAGGAAGGAGAGAGGAAATATTTGAAAGGCAAAGCAAACCAACCAACTAACCAACACAGTGATTGAGTCTGAGGAAATGTCTTTAGCTAAGGAATTGGCAAAAGTGAAAGAGGTATTAAAGACAGAAGAAATGCTTAAATATTTCATTACTTCACTGAAGCATTCAAATATTTATTGAGGGTTTACTATGTGTTGTTTTGTACTATATTTTACAATGTCATGCACAAGCCAGGAAAACTATAGATTTATATTTTACTGAGAGAAGAAAGAAAATAAATGCTACTTCTAATAAAAGTCACACATACTTATATAGGGCTTACTATTGGTTATTAAACTTCTTGCCTCTGACTTGATGAGTCTTTATATTAGGATACATTACTACTTTAGTAGGTGTGCTTCTCAGATAAAGGAAAACATGACACTCTATGATTTAAGGGATGTCATAGCTCTGGTGGCCAGGGTGGCATCTCTGTGGAGGTCATTTAGGAGTGAAGACACAGACCAGAGTCAGACTGGCCATGCAGATGGATGAAGTCAAAGGGTTCCTGGACTGGAGTAGCATGGGGGTCCAGTATGCAGAGGACAAGAAAACCCATGCAGGGTGTAGCATGTGTACTCCTGAGAAGTCAGCAGCAGGAGGGGATAGAGGGGTGTGGGCTTCACTAGGGCCTCTGCCTTTTATTAAAAATGCAATTACAGTGAGTCCCTAACTTACAAACATTAGAGATGTGAGCATTCACAGATACAAGTGAAGCTTCACACTACAGTCACAGATACCAATAAGTTGGCGAAGTAGTGTCTGCTGGTGTCATCACAGCTGTGCTGCTGTGTGCTCCCTGAACAGTGTGATCCTATACAGGGGTGCAGTGCCCCATCAGAGCCCAGGATGTCTGGAAGCTGGAGGAAAGCAGTGGTGCTGTGGAGGGAACTGCGTGGAAACAGAAAGCTATCGTGTGTTTGTGTCAAAGGTGCAAAACACTTGCCTCATCAGACTTATGAATGAAGCCAACTTACAGTGGTTCTCCTGGAAGAGAATTCATTCACACACCTGAAACTCCCTGGAGAAGTTACCTGCAGGTCAGGAATAGGGGATAACATGATTTGTATTTAACGGACCATAGCCCAAGACTGCAGAAAACAGATCAAAAGGGTGAGACACAGTAATTGTTCAACTGAGTCCCAGGGGCCAAAGCACAGATGGTGGTGGTGGAAGTGCGGGAGAGAAGGGCTGACTTTGATGCTTATCTAATGTATGCCTTAAATCAGCAGGCCTCACTGCTGGCTATATGTGGGAAGACAACAAGTAAAATATGACATGAAATTCAGGAGAAAGAAAACTATCCATGATTTACAAAAACAGTCAACAGTCTTTGTACGAAAGCAACCTGAAAAACAAAACAAAACAAAACAGAATATGGAAACCTCAGGAAAAGGGAAAATATCTTTGATTTTGAAGGATGGAAGAGTGTTTTTAGTAGATGGAGGCGGGCACCACATTGCCCCGCACTGAAGGAGGGGTGGCAACTGCATTTTTAAGTCATCTAGAGCCTCCCCTTTCCTCTGTGATCTTTTCTGTGTCATCAAGAGCTGTCATAAAGCAGGACGAGTGTCAGGGAGGACTAGGCCTCTGGGTTTCCCTTTCAAGCATCTCAGGTGACTGAGACTGGCTCTCACCTGCATTTCAGGAAGGGGACCCAGTGAGTCAGTTGCTTACATAAGCCCAGGTCACAGTGGGGAATGTGGCTGTGGGAATCTAAATAAGGCCCTTATCAGTGGGCAGGTCTCTGCATACCTGGGCTGGGCTATGACAGAAAGCTGAACTAAAGGACACAGGAACCCAGGCTATATTGAAACCACAGCCCTCCAGCACATGCCTGGTCCCAGGCCTCTGGCTAGAGCCACAGAATTTAGAATCGTGAGTAGAAATCTTCGGGTTAATGGACAACAATCTTAGCTGATTTTTCAGAGGTAGCAATTTGCTGTCCTTGACAGGAGACCTGCAAAGCCTTCCAATAAAGGGCTGCAGAGTGATGCCATTCCTGTCTCTGCAGTTTTAAGTCTTTGAAGACATCCATGAATGTCTTCAGCTCTTCCGTCATACTGGGGCCCCAAGACTTTGCATGCTTGACATGTGTTTATTTTCTGTCACATCAGTATTCAGTAGAAAAGTTCAACATTTACTACCAATGTGGTCACGGTGATCATTCCTCACAGGGAGCAATCAAAGTTGGGGTGAAGCCCCAAGTCAAGAAATCATTTCTAGGTCTGGACCTACATGTCTGCAGCCTGGCCTAATCGCTATGTATTTATTTTCATCACTATGAATGGGTCAATCCTCATCCTGTCATTAGTCACAGGTTAAATGGAAGGGGCTTTGAAGTTGCCTGGGTAAAGGGGTTCAGGAGCAGGACTGGGATCAGCCATGGCTGGGGACCTTGGCCATGCTGTTGGGCCTGTACCCTGGTGTCAGGCTTTTTGGCCTCCACCTCCTGTCTTTACAGCACCTCTGCAATGTGGGGTTGCTCCATGCACTGACACAGAGTCAGTGATGGCTACGTGTGCAATGGGAAGACCGGCAGCAGGCAGAGACTGGGGGTCTGAGGAGAGCTAGCTATCTGCTGTTACTACTTCATTTGAACCATGTCTTCACATCTAGTGCTTATTTGGGAGAAACTGCAAGTTTAAACAATGTTTCCAAATCTCTCCCAGTTACTCCTAAATTACACCTGGCAGGATGGCATTTTCTCTCTCATCAGTAAACCAACTGTGCGTTGTAGTTCTGGTTTCTGATGAATTTGCATCCCTGTCCTAGTTACTTCTCTTGTTTCTGAGACAAAATACCCACTACTCACAAGTTAAAGGAAGATAGGTTTAATTTTGCTCACAGTTTGTAGAGGTTTCAGTCTGTAGTTGGCTGGCTCTGAGTCGTGGTGTCATGGCAAAGGGAATCCCAGAGGAGAAACAGTCCATAGCAGGTAGGCAGGAAGCAGCAAGTAAGGGTCTTGCCTTCTGCCTTCTGTCTCTTCTCCTCATGTTTTGTCAAGGCTCCAGGTCTATTGACTGGTGCCACTCGCACCTGGGATGGAGCTTCCCATTACCCGTACCCAGGACAATGCCAGACCAATCAGTAGACTACTAATTCAGTTATTATACCCTTACTTCACATTTACACACCCTACACCCAGCTCCCCTGAAAACACCCCTCACCCCTCACCATGAGAGCAAGAAGCTTTTGGGGTCCATCTAGATAGAAGCTGTAAGAGATGTGTTGTCATGTTTTGTTTTGAAGTGAGTATCATGGCAGTCCTGTCCAGTGAGTTTGAATTTAAGGGATTCTCCGTCATTCTTACCAGCCAAGTCCTCAGTTGAAGATTTCACCTCCCAATCAGACACGAAGACAGTAGCTTCACCAGGTGTCTCCACACAGCAGTGGGCTCAGGTCACCAGAACCTCACTCTGGTGCTTATAGATCTGTCTTTCTCCATCACCACATGGCACCTTGACTGCCTGGGTGTCTTGAAAACCATCCTGCTTTCCATAAATAGAGCCAGGCCAGAGTCCTCAGCACCCAGCTCAATCATGGCCAGAGGGACCAGTGGAAGGGAGGAGAGCTGGTCCCTCCATGTGGAGAGCCCATGGCGGCTGCGCTGAGGATTGACCACCTGCTCCTGAAGCTGTTGGGTGACTTCTTTCTTGAGGAACTGATTGGTGTGTGCATTTTGCCACAAAACTCTTCAGAGATTATGTCCTTGAGAAGGGCAAAAGCAGAGGTGGGAGAGGGATGGGGAGAGAAAGAATAAGAAGGTCAATATTGATTATCTTTGTAGTATAGAGACATGAATTTTGTAGTCATTGACGTAATTTACAAATTTCTACAACATCCATGTTTACAGTAATGGAAGTTAATGCGAAATGGAAGCTTACCCCATTTTAGTTACTTTTCTCTTGTTGCTGAGACAAAACACTTGATATCCACAGTTAAAGGAGGAAAGGTTTATTCAGCTCACAGTTTGTAGAGCTTTCAGTCCATACCTGGCTGGCTCCAAGGCAGGGTGGCATGGCAGAAGGGCACTGTAGAGGAGAAAGAGTTCATGGAGGGAAAAAGATAGCAAAGTAACAAGGGCTGACCATAGTTCTCTCCATTATTGGTATTTTACCCAGGCTACTCATACCCTTAATCCTAGGATTGCACAATGGATCAATTCCAGCATCACACGTTCTAGATCCAGCCACCTCTGAAAAAGTCCCACCTAAGACCTGTGAGACTTTGACAGGACATCCAGACACAAGCCATAACACCCCCTACCTTAAATCACTTATTTTTAAGGCTTATTTGGCTATCACTGGAGACTGGCCTTACTCTGCTAGGGAAACAGAACTTTGACCAGCTCTGCAGACGTTCATAGAAGTGGCCAGGACCAGTAAGTGGCCCGCCTCCATCTACTAAAAACACTCACTGTGGATGTCTATTCTCTTGATAGAGTCCGGCTCTACTATCTTTTCCATTACTTTCCCTTCTTTGATCCCCGCAGAAAGCATATGAACAGCATTATCCCATATTGGTGAATCTACTGCACCATGATCTGTGTTCCTATAGCCATCAAAACTAAACACGACAGCCTGTAAAAAGACTTCTTGTGACTGGGAAGTGGGTTATTCTCACCATGGTCCACTGTGGTCATTGGACAGCCCCCTCTCTAAACCCTCCTGGCTTTCTGTGGGTGTTATTTATACCCAATGGAGACTGCCATGATTCGTCAGCTGTCATGGTCATCTTATTTTATTCTATTTTATTATGTTTTTTCTCACATCATTTATTCCTACAGTCAGTGAAAATGTAGCAGCTTCAAATGTCCACAGTATGCTGTGAGATTCAGGGAATAGAGTGGGAAACAGGTCAGCCCCGTGCAGCTCAGGTAACACCAAAGCAATCCAAGGTGTGGCATGGTACAGTGTGCAGCTTAACCCCTGGTTTTATCACCTGATGTCTCCCCGGTGAGTTAGTCTGCACCCCAAGTTTTCAGCTAATCCCTCTGCAAGTGGGAATAATGATAACTCCTCCAGGAAGTTTTTATGAGGTTAAACATGAGTTACCTCCAGCTTTCAAATAAGTCAGAAAGCCATTCAGTGCTACAGAAGAACGAAACAGGAATAAAGACCAGAGGGACCTAGATAACTATCGAGAAGTGGGAGATGTCCCCAAGGAAGAAACGTTTAAAGTGAGCCTCAGTTTGTTTGGTTAAATGGAAGAAGTGAGAAGCATTTCTGCTCAGGTAGAAGGGGTGATCTTGGCTGAGATTCTCAGCTGCAAAGAGCAGGTCGCCTTTGAAACTCTAGGAAGAGGAGCTGGGCGATGGCGGGCTGTGGGCAGGAGCAGACTGGGTAGAGCTTTAAGGCCACTGGGCAGATGGCGGCCTATGTTCAGTGAACAGTGGCCTCTCTTACCCATACCTCTTCCCAGGTCAGGGGAAACATGAGTTACCTCCAGCTCTCAAATGATTCAGCAGCCTCCGCAGAGGACTCTGCCTCAGTCTCCTCCTGACTCCCTGCTCCGGCTTCCCAAGGGCTCTAGAGGAAGATGAAAGGTGTGGGCTGTTGGTTTTGTCAGTTGGGGCCATAGTGGTGGGAAGAGGGAGGGGGTGAAAGCTGAGATGGGCTGGGGGCTGCAGGGGGGGGGAACAAAGAGAAAGGTGTCAGGGTTGGGGGGTCAAGTGAGCTTTCCAAAGCCTCAGAGAGTGGAACAGAAGCATGCATCACCTCTTTATCTGACTAGATTTGACACTACCTTTCTCTTTGGAGTCATAGCATTTCTTTTTTTGTATATGTGTAGTTTTTTTTTTTTTGTTTTTTTTTTTGGTGGAATGCTTATAATTCATTTAGTGTCCAAGTAACTCATCTTGGGATCGCCCAAGTACAGGTAAATATTCTAAGATTTAGATGTAGTTTGTTTTTCAAATTACATATTTATAACAACTTATAATAAAGTATTCTGAAGCCTACTTTTGATTACTTCTAGTGATTTTATTTTCCACTCTTTAATGTTATTGCATTCCTAACTTGTTTGACTATGAAGGGAATCTAAAAGACAACACATCTGCTAGCCATTCCCCACACACCTCAGCCACCATTCTACCCAAAGGAATGGGTCCTATTGATACAGAGGAATGAAACTCCCGACCTACTAGATGTAACATACGGGTTTGTGCTCTCCAAAATTGAAGAATGAATTTTAGGAACAACAGAGGTTAAGAGTGAAACATATTTATTGAGAGAAAGGAAGCTTCTGTCTAAGAGAGAGATAGAAGGGGTCCTGAGTGGGTTACCAAAGACCCTGTCTCTTTAAGGGACTTTTATAGAGTAAAGTCATGGGGTGAGATGCTGGAGAAGATTAGGAACTTGCAAGGCAGATGGGCATAAGGTGGGATAGAATTATGGTCAACCAATAAGATTAATTGCTTAGGCAAAATTGATTGCATTAGGGATAAATGGGGAAGCAAGTCTTGTAAGAAGTGGGCATCCTTAGAACTGTGACTCTTTCCTTAGAGGGTTGGAATGGTAACTCCTGGCTTCTTCAGGGAGATGAGGAACTAATTAGAATATCAGTCCTTAGGATGTGGGTGCATTTGCTTGAAACTTTGTCTTGAGGCCTGGCCCACAGCAGGAAGTGTCTGTGTCCCTCACAGCTGCAAGGTACGTGGGCTTCTCCACTGGCTACTTAGAGGACCCAGCCCTGCCCCACTACCTATATTATTTCTAACTAACTCGGCTGCTTACAACACTAAGAGAGACCTGGCAGAGTCAGGCGGGGCCTCATCTGTTCAGTCTATGCCATCTTCCTTTCCCCTGCCTGTATTTCTTCATTCCTGCTGGAGATGAGCTCAGAGCCTCACACACACACACACACACACACACACATACACACACACACACACACAAGGCAGTGCTCTGACCCTGAGGTCTGCCCTTACACCCTTTCTCCTCAGCCTTCTTTGCAAGCTGCCACTGCTAGGTATGGATGGAGTTTGTATTGGAGGTCAATTAGAGGATGGGTAAGAAAGCTGGACAGAAGCACCAGTGAATGCCAGGGTGTCTTAGACTCCACTTACCAATAAAAATGCATTCTTCCAATAAGCATCATCATAGTCCTAAGTCTGTGAGAACTTGTCTGGCTTTGTGTGTGGAGCTGAGTTGAAAAAAATTTAGTAAAATCCTCAGTGATTTCTTTGAATGGAAGCATGACATTTTTGGACTCGTAAGGGAAATTTTACACCAAGTGAAAATGTTACATGAAATGAACTAACTGTCTGGATCGGATGTGAGTCAGGGATTCTCTGTAGAAGCCTCATGGTCCCTGCTGACATCATAGAGTCACTGGGCTTCCTGTAACATTCCTGTAACCTTTGGCTTACTCCTGTATCATCTCAGGATAAAAATCACACAAACTTTCCCAAGTTGTGATACCAGAATGCTATTATTTACATTTTTGAAGTTCAAGTTGACAATTTTGCCTTTGATGGGAGAGGCCGAGGATTTCTTTTGGTTTTGCAATGTGTTCCTTTTATAAACAGCTGCTAGTGTATACAAGTATCCACGCACACCAAGATGCTCACAAGCCAGGAAGTTGCTCACTGCATCACGGGTTGCACAAACATGTGTTTACAGACGAGCATTTGTTTAATCCATGTTAGATGTACATGGGGTAAATAAATCTCCTTGCCAGCTGGCGGCTTATCTAGTCGGTGACATTGTGTTTAATGATCACACACACTTGCACGCTATTCATGCCTGGACTTTTTCCACCCAGAGGGCTGACTAAGACTGACCCTAGGCCAAGAATTCCAGGATAGACTTCCTGCCTGCCCAGACCTAACCTTTCGGAACTTCAGGGAGAGCAACCCTTTCTGATCATCCTGATAAGCACCCACCCCCAGAAAACATGAGTGAATTATGGAAGTCTATTAACTGGGATGCGACTTAGAACACGCTGGTCTGTGAACAGCAGCCAGTGACAAGCAGATGATTTGACTGTCTTTTCCTCACAATTAGATAAAAGCTTTCTTTTGTCCCTCGGCATCTTTGTGCATCTCCTTCCTGACTACCCTTAGTCACCGAACATTGGGGTTTAGAAGCTGATGATTTTGTGTCCAGTGGAGACAGCTGGGCACAGCGCTCAGCCAGAAGAGTCACTTGATGAGCTGTGTCCCCTGGGCACAGCTGGGTGTGGCCTGCAGCGGAGACTAGGAGATGAGGTTCAGAGGGTGGCTGGAACACCAAGAGTTGCCCAAGCTCCGTGGTGAGTCCGCATGCAGCCAGGCTGAGATAAAGCCTCACCACACTCCTGAGTCTTTTTGCAGGAACTGGGGGATTCAGGAAGAGGACGTGACCTATGGTAGCAGATACAGCAGGAGTCTTGGGAGCCAGTAGAAGCGCCCATCACCAGAAGAGCCCCTCACATTGATGCAGTGTGCAGGACACTTCAGAGTGTTTTCCAAAGCACTAGATCATATTGAGTAATTTATATGGGAATATTTTGAAAATAATCAAAACATATAAATCCAATATCACCCTAAAAGTTGCCTGCCATTTTCTACTTTGTGCCTACCAATGCTTGTTAACTCACATTAAACTCTTCTAATAAACAGCAGATTCTGGAAATTTGTTTCTGCATCTTACTTATCTCTGTGTCCTGCAGAAGCACCTGGCTTTCTCTGGAGTCACCCAGTGTGCTCTGCTGAATTTCACTGAGTATCTCCAGGCCACCTCTGCCTTCAGTGCTATGGACACTGTTACCTGGACACTCATAGCCACTGTCTTCCAGGAGCTTGCACTCCAGGAAATGCATGAGCAACCACGATCTGAACTCCTAGGATGGTCTTCCGAGTCCCAGATCACAGCTGACTTGTCCTGGCAGAGTTATGGACAGACCCGCACCAAGAAATGCAGGGCCCTGTGCTTTTTCCTTGGCTAGCAGGCAGTCAAGACTCAGCCTGCCTTGGATTACTGAGCCATGCCATCATTCTAAGGGAACAACTTCCGATCACTTGGAGTTTCCTCACAGAAGAAATTCATAA